CGATCCGAAGTCACAAATGGATTGAACTTCATTTTGACTGGAGAAAACACACATTATGCAATTAAGTACTCATTGAGAAATATATTAAGATTACAACTGCCAGTTTGCTTCCAGGTGCAATTCAAGGTGCTGGTGGTTTTCATTATTCATTCACCTTCATAGTTTAGGACTGTCTTCTCCCAGTTGTTTCTACCCATCCAATTTGGTCCAGCAGGCTGGACATGTTACAGGCCACACCCACCAAAAAATGTCAGCTGGTGTGAACCAGGACAAGTGCCTTCTTGGCCATAATTCCCGCCTTCTCAACATTTTCCCTTTAGAAATCAAGATGACTGCAATCATGTTGGCCTTTTGTAAGACTATGAAAGTTGTGTGCCTGGGCTTCAAGTGTGTTTCTTGGCGTATAAACATACATGGCAATAGTTCTAATTGGCAACCATATATATATATTTTATTTTAACTGATTTTGTTTCTACATTTTAGGATGTACGCAGCCCAGAGTCATTTGAGATGAAGGGCTATAAAAATCAAGTAAACAAACAAAAGACCAACTGGAGTTTGGGCAGATATAACTGTAGTATTTTTAAGCCAAGAGTATATTATTGTCAGAATATGTATCACCTGTATCTATGGGAACCTGAAGCTATATTTGCATTTTGGACATAAGGGTGGGGACATGACAACAGAATGCCAGTTTATAGAACATACAAAAATTGTATTTTTTTTCCTGCTCTAAAGATGTCCTACAATGTGCCCTCTATATAAGTCTGAAGTTTATGAATCTTCAGTGTAGTATTTCTAACTATTAAGGTAACCAATAAAATCATGAAAGACCTTATTGTCTTTGCTAGACTATTATTCTACATACTATAATTAACCTTCATATTATATTTGCAGTTATGTCTCTTAAAGTAAAAAGTTCAGAGTTACCTGAAAACAACCTATATATAACTGACAAAAAAACCCTAAAGAGAAGTATTCATAGGTTTCACTATGTTCACAATACCTTACTTCTTTGTAAGCTTTTTGTTAAGACAGGGGTTCCCAAACTTGGCAACTTTAACACTCGTGGACTTCAACTCCCAGAATAGCTGGCTGGAGAAGTTGCCAAGTTTGGAGACCTCTGTGTTAAGATATTAAACATTAAACATATTAAATATTGCAGCAGTCTTAACGATTCTCAAATAGTTTTAACACTTTCATTAGGGCGACTAGCAGAGGAATATTGAAAAATAGCTCATTTTCCCAGTATCAACTTGGAAGGGGGGGGATAAGTATTGAAATGAAAAACACCAAGGCACCTCAGAACGAGTCGAAGTTACTGTTCTAAACTCTCGTCTTGCTGAGGCTGAACAACAAACAGCCTTTACGTCTACACTGAATAACATAAAACTTTGTCACTTTAAACGCACACCGATCAGCATACATTAAAATGCAATTTCGTTGCATTCAGCTCTCAAAAGTTAACCATTATGCACATATCCACACACGCGACAGAGAAACATCAGTCTCGGTTCGAATGTATGCATATACACGACGAAGATATACGCTGTCATTCAAATAAGACAACATGAAAGACAACATGCCCTGGCAACCTGCACAAGGGAACACATTTTACCGGGCCCATCAGATATTAGTAGGCCCCCAAGGAGGGAAGAGATCGGCGGACAGAAGGGCTGCCGTAGAAATGACGTTCTGAAGTTTCTACTGCTTCAAATACAGGAGCGGCAACAAAAGACTATCCGCTTTGTGCACTTCTTCACAAATCACAACGGAGAATGTACCGCCAACGAACGGATGACAACGGATTACAAAAACCCACCCCTTCCATCGAATCTTTACCTGCCGCTTGATCGGCTATGGCCGCCCGGAAAGAGCTTGCTCCTGCTTCCGCCGGTTCTTCGTGAGGTCCCCTCGAAGTCTCGCGAGAATTGCCCCATCTCTGAGAACGTTTTGAGCAGAAAGATGTGTGGATCGGCGCCACCTGGCGTCCAATGCAATGTAATAGCAAGTGGTGCTGGGCGTCTCAATTCCTGTTATCAATGCAGTCCTCCCCCCCCCCCCTCCCCCTTTCCCTATTCAGGCTCATATCCTCCTATTCACCCGTTCATACTTTCTATTTGCAAAAGCCGCATCCTACTTATTATTATTAATTCATTCAACTTTCACCCATTCCATTCTTCCGCTCGCCCATTTCTTGTGACTGTCCTCCTCCTTTCAACGTTCCCCATATTTAGGACTCAAAAGCTTTCAGGAAAAGTTCTCATTGGAGGGTGTACCCGCGCGGTGGCGGCGGCGGGGTTCGTGGTGACGAAATGGAGAAGACTACAACGTTTCTCTTTCTTTCACAAATGTGAAGGGTCCCTCTCAAATTGCGAGGCGTTTTAAAGAGATTCCGTGCGTTTGAATTGGATCGTATTCATTAGGCGCACTTTCCAGTTTGGGAGCGAGAAAAGTCTCAACCGGGTCCAAGGAGGCAAGCGTGGATTGACTGTACAAATAATATATGATTACTATAATACAGACTTGGCATGAGCTCTTGCCAAATTCCTAGGAACAGCTCACCTGCATTTTCATACAGATTTTAACCAACAACGAATGAAAACGGAGATGATTGACAGAGACTTTACCACATGAGATTACGAATGTTCATTGATAGTTTCCCCGACTAACGTAATGGCATCATACCTTGAGCAAATTAACTTATTTTAACAGTGGTACTTAAAAACGCCACAACGCGGAACTAATATTTTCTTGCAGAATTAGCATTGAAATACATGTTCTCCCAATATAGGGAAATCTAAAACTCACTGCTGCTCTAATAGACATGTTGACTATTAGAGACTAAATCACACTACTGCATGAGTGCAAAAATAAGATAAAGCTTTCTTGAAATTTAGCAAAAAAAGAGATTTCAGTTGGTCTTCTTAATATTAGGTGTTTATCTTGCATGTATATTTTTTCTTAATGATAAAAAACAAGATCTGAAGCAAAACAACACTGCTGCAACAGACCAAATTCTAAACATTTTATAGAAAATTCAAGAAATGAAAAGGATGGGGAAAAAATCTAAAGTTAAAATTTCAAGATAAGAAAACTATCTTTTCTATACCTGCAACAAAGTAAAAATAGACGTCGGGCAAACTGGAGGAGCATGCATTTCTACAAGTTTGTCTGACTAACCAATTAGGATTTACTTCCCCCCAAAGAACCATAGAACAATAGATAAAGGTTTTTTGGCCCAAAGCAGTTTAATAACAGCATATTGATTTGACACTTTCAAATTTTAAAAGGTCACCCTTAAAAGACCACATGGTATTCTGACAGCAAATAATGACTGTTTGCAAATTGTAATATCAGTAATCTTACTGTTTCTTTTTAAAGGTACAGAGAAACTAAAGAACACATCATTTGTTTCCATCTTAGGTGATATAAAATGTACAAAGCATTCCCAAATTATGAGTCATACTGTATATCAAAAGAGTTGTAGTTATGAAAATTTGTGGGTTCTATTGAAAGCCCCTATAAATCAATGCCAACACCATATAAAAAAGTATTAATTTGCATGATATTTGCCTTATCACTTTGTCCTCACATTCACCTGCAGAATGGAATAAACAATTATTTTATACTCAGAACAGATACAAAAGAAAATGTTCACACACAAAATATGTTTCCTTTTATACAGTGTAGTATCTAACTCTTAAGAATCATCAAAGTAGGTGCTTGCCTTTAAGGCTGCTAGTTTCACAAATGCTTGGAAATTAACATTTTAAACATGAGCAGGTTATTGTCCAATGTCTTGACTTCCAAAGATAAAGACAACTTACTGCATTTCCAATATTTATTGAAGACACACCTCTTTTTTAAAATGATACTCTTCTACCCAATTGGAGTATTGACCAAATATTGTCTTCATTGCTTTTCCTTTAAATTAAATTTTTTGACCTGGACAGCTGAACAATCTATATCATTTAAAAAGTAAGAGAGAAGTCTCACAAGTACAAAAACATATACCGTATTTTTCAGACTATAAGACGCTCTGAACTATAAGACGCACCTAACTTTTGGGGAGGAAAACAAGGGGGGAAAAATCTGCCTCTGCCTCCCAGCAATTTGCCTCCTTGCAGCAAACAGCCAGGTCAGCTTCAGCATGAGCAGCTGATTGGCAGTTGGATCTGCCTTGTGGAATACCAACAATCAGCTGTTCCAGTCTGCAGGGATCACAACCGCCTACTGCCGTCTCTGTGCGCCCTATTTTTGGCCTCTGCATGCCCCATTTTCAGCCTCCTCACATGCCGTGAGGCATGCGGAAGCTGAAAACAGGACCCACGGACACTGAAAACAGGGCATGTGGAGGCTGAAAATGGGGGGCGTGGATATGGCAATGGCGATTCCTGAAGACTGGAACAGCTGATTGTCAGTATTCCAAGAGGCAGATCCAACCGACAATCAGCTGCTCATGCTAAATCAGGCTGTGCTGAAGCTGACCAAGCTGTTTGCTGCAAGCAGGCAAATTGCTGGGAGGCAGAGGCCGAAGGGTAGAGGCCAGCGGGTGGGCGGGGCTTTGACAACATTTGCTGTATAAGACATGCAGACATTTCCACCCACTTTTTTTGGGGGGGGGGGGAGAGTGCATCTTATACACTGAAAAATATGATAATCTGCCTTATTTACAAGTGAGACTTAATTATACTCCTTCATTTTTTTCTAATTGTTTCTATTTTTTAGGCCACTTCAATGATAAAATGTTGTTGGAAATAACTAAAAATATTTTAACCTTCCAGAAGGATAAAAGAATTACTGTCATCTTTTGGCTAACTGTGCTAGAGAATCAAATCCTGGGAAGATTAAACCTTTTAAATGGTCTCCCAGGATGAGTTTCTTAGCTGCTCGAAAGATAACAAGATCATAGGTTCTTGGTGTCTATTCATCTGGAAAATACATAATGTATAAAGGTCAATAGACTGTTCTGAATATCTGGACTAGTTTTTTTAAAAAACAACAACAAAATGTTATTGAAATCAATGTTATTGTTCAGTAAAAACAGTGCAGCTAGTCCTTGAGTTACAATGATAATGGAGCCTGGTCATCACGATCATAAATCATGAGTCGTAAAACAAATGATTTGGTCATAAAGCGGCCATTGTGGTCAATAAGACAACACCATGGTCATTAAGCAAACCAATGGTTCACCCTCAATATGGTTTTGCCAAAAATTGAAAGTAACTTCCAGGTTTTGGACAAATCATCATAAATGCAGTCATGTGACAGTGGATGCTGCAAATGCGGCCATGCCACCAAGCGCCCGAAGTTTAGTCACGTGTTTGCAGGGGGGACCCTATCACTGGAACTTTGAATATGGGTCATAAGTAGTTCCAGGGTAGGTCTGTTGTAAGTTCAAGCAGTTGCCAAACAACTGGCTGTAAGTCAAAGACTACTTGTACTGTATGATTGTTCAGTTCTATAATTCTTGGATAAAATCTAAGTTACAGAACTAAAAACTTGCCCTGAAGTCGCTTTTTGAGATTTTGAAACATAATAATACCAATGAGATCTATCAGATCTAATTGTAAAACATAAATGACAATATATCCTCCAAAACATTGAATGAGAATAGTACATATAAAACCGCATCCCCTTGCATATGATGCTAATTTTCAAAGACTATGATTGGTTGTTTGGGAGGTTTATTTGTTTCTGCACCCTTATGTTTCCAGCAGCTTGTGTGAACTGAAATGATACGAAGAAAAATCAACAGCTGTGGGCTCTTTCTTCTATACTTCTTCTCACAAGAGTAGGCTGGAGATTGCTTTGTTACTGCATCTTTCCTAGTTGGATCTTTTTCCAGGCTTCAGAGGCTGTAAAAATGCAGGAGTCAAGAATCCCAGCCACAGTAAATGTTCCACCAATGATGGCACAAATCTGAAATGGATAAAGAAGAAGGAAACTTTAAGTACTGTTCGCCTTCCCTGCTCTCCCCTCCACAAGTCTCAGAAAGACCTCTGGCATACAGCTGCTTGGTTTTTATTAAGTGTTTAGTGTTTAGTGCAGGAGTCCCCAAACTTGGCAACTTTAAGACTTGTGGACTTCAACTCCCAGAGCTGGCTGGAGAATTCTGGAGTTGAAGTCCACAAGTCTTAAAGTTGCCAAGTTTGAAGACCTCTGGTTTAGTGAAACATGCCAGATGCAGTTAATGTAAGTTTAATAATGAGATGATTCAAACCTTTTGTTAAATACGGTATAAAACACCTTAGTGTTGTAGTGTTTTTTTCTGAGTTCTTCAGATCGTAGTAAACATTCCCCTTAAAAAATTCACCAATGGGTGCTTCTCAATCCCTTTTCTACCTTTTATCTTGTTCTTCCTGATTACGTTAGAACCACATTAGGTTGGGATCATGTCATTTTAGTGTCCACTATTGAACAATATAGCTTTAAGAATCTTCCCCACTAATTGCCCTATTTATGCAGAAAACTATACTGGGGTGATATTTGCGGCCCATTCTGCTTTCCTCCTTTCCTTTCCTCTTGCCACTGTGGCTGCTTCAAGTTACAGCTGTCTAGTGTTGTTCAGATTATTTGAGTAGCATTCTTTAATCACTATTTTAGGAATATAGCGGACTAAACTCAAGTGTGCCTCACTCTGGGTATAGGGGCATAGGATTCCTGTGATGCAAGACTGTGTAATCCTATGCACACTTGCTGTCAGTGGCTCCAATGTAATTTACTTCTGGATAGATATTATAGCAGCCTTCTTCCAACCGGATGCCCTCCAGATATGTTAGTCTCCATCCCATTAACTGGATGGGTATTATGCTAATGGTATCCATCAGGATACTAAGTTAGGAAGATGCTTTATCTATTTGGGCTACATATTAAATTTGATGAAAACATTATCGTTCTTGTACACAGGATATGTAATACTAAGACTGCTACCTAAAAGAATAATTATTCAATTGTGAAGGAACTAAGAATAAGATTACAAGTAGTCCTTGACTTACAATAAAGTTTGTTTAGTGACCATTCAAAGGTACAACTCCACTGACAAATGTAACCCATTAATATTTTTCACACTTGCAACGTCCCCATGGTCACGTGATCAAAATTCAGCTGCTTGGCAATTGACTCATGTTTATGACGGTTGCCATGTCATGGGATCAGGGGATCGCCTTTTGCAATCTTCTTACAAGCAAAGTCAATAGGGAAGCCAGGTTCACTTAACAACTATGTTACTACCTTAACAACTGCAGTGATTTACTTAACAACTGTGGCAAGAAAGGTCATAAAAAACTGGATGAAATTCACTTAACAAATGTTTCACTCAAATTCTGGGCTCAATTGTGATTGTGACTCTCTGTATATAGAACTTCAATAGCAGTAACAGAAGCAGTGGGGGAGGAATTGCTCATTTTTTGTGTGTATTTTCATTCAGATATTTGTGTCCAGTGAGCTCAGTGAGATAGAAATATGTTTCCGTTTAAAAAAAAAGTTAATGCATTTTTCAAAACACAGCTAAAATTCTGGAAAATAAAAACCACAGAAAGAAATGGAAGAAACTGATCTATTTACTTTTTTTTGCAAAGTAAAATGTTTTCCCCCAACTACTCCTCTTAGTTCATTTACCCTGCCTTCTACCAAAAGTGATGCACTTTTTAGAGAATATAACAGCAAAATGAGTTCAACCAACACAAACCAGCTGACACAAGAGGTTTTAAACCACAAGATGGGAGAGGAGAAATACTTGATGCATCAAAGCAGGGAAGTATGACTTCACATTTCTAAACATAGGAAAAATATAATTCCATGTCTATTTAAAAAAAATGAAAGATGCCTACACACAGAGAATTCTCTGAATGGGTAGAAACAACTGGATTTCTTAGGATAGCTACCATTTCACTTCAACAATTAAGGAGCTAGGACATTTATTACACAAAATGTCACTATCTCACTATTACACGAAAGTCAATAAACATGATTAGACAAAAAGGATACTCTGAACTGTGTGCAGACACGAGTCACAAAAAATGTAAATAATATTCCCTGTTCCTCTTATGTTGAGAGAATGAATAATTTCTGCCCAGGCCAGAAGGCCATAGCCCTCTCCACAATCATGACTACTCCAATTCAAATCCAGGTCAATCATGATGCAGTAGGGACTTGGGACAGCAAAAATGATGATGAGCTGCAAAGTAACTCTACTAGGTTTGAAAGGCCTGAGAAAATAATTTGCCCTATGAGCCTACCCTAGATTTTGTCCTAGCAAAGAGTATTTCAACATAACAGAAATGGAAGGATAGTATTTACAAGAAAAAAATTATAGTAATAATGGGAAAAGGCTGATATCATTAAAGCACATAGGAGAATAGGCATTGTCCCTTTGATCAAGAACTTTAGACTTAAAACTAGAACAAGATTGTTTGTTGACTTCATACTTTATTAGCATGACAAAAACAAGCCAAGATGCGAGAAGTTCAGTTGGATCCTGGTGTCAAAGAAGCAGATTCAGAAAAGGAAGAATGCTAAAATAGGCAAGCCGCTATTATCATATAGAACAGATTAGAAGCCAGGACAAATGGGCAAATGACAAGGCTTATGATAAGGGACAGGTAAAGAGCACTAAAATAAAAAGCCAATCGGCATTCAAAGATCCCACAAATTACAACAAAGGAAGGATTGAAAACACAAATTTACATTTACTTTTTTGTACTGTATCTGAGTAGTGTGTAGTATGTGGTCCTTCAGATGCCACCACAAAATCATGATTTCATAATAAACAAACTACTTTTCTCTCTACTGTATTAGTATAATGAAATATAATAAAGAAAAAGATCATTTCACTACAATATATACAACCATAATGCAGCCTGCCAATTATGGGTATATGTCATGATGGTCTTATGACCATTGAGTTGGTCACATGACCATTCAAATTATGACCATTTTGTAGCTGTTGTTAAGAAAGCACAATATTTGTAAAAAAAACTCTTTAAAAACCCTCTTTTTTATTCTGTAATATTAGAATTCTAGCATTGTGTTGTGAGGGCAGGATTGCGTGTGATGAAAATAAAATCTTTGCATACTAGCATTGATGTTTGGAAATATTATCTGTGGCAGTACAAGTTTGAGAATCTTTTACAAAATGATATATTAAATGCTACATTAAAGTCAAGTGTACACAATTTAAATCCCACACACACACTCAATGTTTCAGCTTTTAGGCTAAAGCATCCAATATCTTCCCATTTTCCTATCCAAACAATTTTCTGTTTTCTGGATGCATCTAGAAAATAGTTCAACATTTACAGCTCTTTTTTTTACTTAAATCTCTAGCATATATACTCAGCTTATGAATAAGCAAGGACAAGAGGGTGACAATAACTTACCATTGTGGGCTTCCGGTTTGAAGTCTCTTCGGCGACAGACAGAAATTCGCGATCGTGCGCGGTTTCAGTCTGGGTTCGCCGCTGGAGTGCCCCGAGCCAGCTGGTTTCGGGGCTAAGCCACCCCGTAGAGGTGGTGAAGAGGGGGGAGACTACCAGCAGGGTTGAGGAGAGCCGCATCTCTCCTCCTCAGCTGGCCATTACTCCCTTTCCCGAAGGCGATTGCAGCAGTGGTCAGAAATGGCCACCACAAAGAAGAACTCGACCGGAAAAGAATGTGCAGGAGGAAGATAGGAAGTGAAAGTTTTGGCTGACCGGGTTAAATTGTAAAAGCAACAACTAAGGTACCCTGGAATTTAAACTTACAAAAAAATAACATCGCTCCCAAAGAAGAGTCGGAAGCAGCGAAGGAAAGTGAAAAGGGAAAGGTTTGGCTTTTTTTTCTTTCTCTCTCCTTCCCTATACTGACAACTAAGAGACTTAAATAAGAAATCAGAAAAATCCGCTTTGACATCAATAGGCAATTAAGCTGAAAATAAAACAAAATGCCAAAGGGATAATAAAGATTTCTGGACACTAATTTTTTTTTTCATTAGCAGGAAGGGAGAGAAAAAGAATAAGGGCAGGATCTGGAAGAGGGAGGAGACTGCCTGGAATTAAAAAGAATCTACAGTAAAACTTCAACAAGACTTCTAAAAGATACATTTTAACTGAAACTTGGCAACTAAACAGTAACCCCAGGAAGAGAAAGTGAAAAAAAAGAGCAAAAAGAAACAGCTTGCGTGTATTTGGATTATTTGGTGATCTTTGGATTCTTGGTTATTACATTTGAATGACTAAAATTAATCGGGTGGTTGTTTAAAAATTTATACAATGGCACCACTTCTGGATGAATTGAAAATGGAACTTAAAAAGTACAAAGAAGATGCACAAGAAGGGAAGGGTTCTTTTGGCTTCGTTTTTCAATTCTTAGAAATGGAGATTTGGAACTATGAGAAACAAGAAGAAACGTCTGCAAAACAAGAAGACTGGGACAAAGAAGAAGCCATCTTTAATGAACAAGTAATTTTATGTGGGGAAGAAAAAGGAAAGGGGGGAAAGAGAATGGAGAATTTAAGATTTAAAAAAACAACCAAAGAAAAGAAAAATAATTCAAAAAATAAGTATAATACTGGAAAGCAACAGAAAAGGGGAATACAGAAGAGAGAAATAGAGGTAGAGAGACAAGGGGGTAAAAAGGGGAGAGAGAAGAAGAGAGGGAAGAAGAAGGAAAGGAAAAGAAGTTACAAAGGACCGGAGCAAGATATAGAGAAACAGGACCTATTTAGAGATAATGGGTGAAAATCTAACTGAAAAAGGGATTCTGTAAAGGTACATAAGATTGTATTGTTATATTAGTAATAGAAATAACTTTAGAAAATTGGAAACAATGTATGATTAAAATGAGGGATAAAATAGTGTAATTTAGTGAAATGTTTGTTAATAAAATAAGTGAAATAAAATAAATGAGAAAATTGAATTAGGAAGGAACGGGAACATTTTAATTAGTTAATGTTTTATAAAATATAAGTGAACGGGGGCATTAATTATGGAAAGCTTATAATTGTTCCCATAGAAGTATGATATTTAATTGAAAAGTAATGTTAAAGAAGTTAAGACTTTAATGAATATTAATATTAAAGATAGAATTGAATTGGAATGGAATGTGTTGTTTTAATTACATACATTTATATTTTTTCTTTTTTTAAGAATATAGTGTGTATTTTAAGAATGTACCAAGCAGAATCCAAATGGAAGTTATGTATTATATTGAATGTTATAACTTTAGGTTATATATTGAAGCCTAAATAAGAGTTAAACGGATAAACTTAAAAGATATAAAGGTGTCATACTCTAATCAGTAACTACAGGAGAAATTTTGTTTAATGAGAAAAGATAATAGATAATTGAAACAGGACAGACAAAAAATATAAATACAATGATTTGAATTGAGATGAGATAACTAAAATAAAATTGAGAAAATTAAAAGAGGGGAGAAGCTATGCAGAAAATGTAAAATAGTAATAAGATATGGAATAGAATATAAAAATGAGTATCAACCTGAATTTGTGTCTATACGAAGAAATGTAACCTGGGATTACGCTACTTTCAAAAAAGATGTTTTATTTGTATTTTTTTTCTCTTTGTGAAAACTCAAATAAAATTTACAAAAAAAGAAAAATAACTTACCGTTGTGATAAATCTGTACAAAGGCTGTCGCCTTTCTGTGTACTTCACTGTAATAGGGCTCAAATCATATCGAAACCAAATGGCTGGAATAATGCGTCCTGTGTGGCTGTATGCTACATATTCCTAAAAAAGGATGCATAGCAGAGAATGAATATATCTATATAAAAACAGACACCTAAGAATTCTGTATACATCTACTCCACTTTCCCTAAGATACTGATAATTTTTGAGATGTTTATTGGAATCCAAGTTAACTTTAAAGAGCAGGCCCTTCAAAATCATTTGGACTTAAACTAGTAATGATTTTTAAAGATTCTGATTTCACAGAGCCTACTCCACATATGACTACATCTTGATCTAACTCAATTATGGATATGACAAAATTAGTACCTCTTATGCAGTAAAGTTGCAGTTACAAATTTCTGGGCTATGAAAGAAAATCAATATTTTGAGATCCTGTAATTTTAAAGTAGCATTTTAATTCCTGAAGTTCAAAAGGCTAGAATGGCAAAACTTTCCAAAACTGGTGAATAATTGCATATTAAAAAGACCTTGAGAAACAATGAAGGGAATAGGAATAATACTTTTAAAAAATTTCCAGAACATAGCATTATGAAATCAGGTAATAGGAAATCTGTGCAAAAGTACATTCTTTTATATGAGATTAGCTGGGTTGAAGCGAACTACATCCATTTTTAAACGTTAGTTTTTGTAAAAGGAAGCAAGTGCCCTGGATAGACAGAAATATACCTAACTGATAGGAAGGATCTATATCCAAATCCATTAATTAAGCCATGCTTCAACTATATAAGACTGTTACTCACAAAGCAGGAAGCAATGATTAGTCTATCAATTTATAGCCTATGTCAGTTTATCAAGTATTTACAGTATATCTCTATCCTTTTTCCATGTTAAACTGCAAATAATACTTTCATTGCCATGGAGTTGAAAATATATATTCAAATATTCATGTCTAAGCACTTCATCCATGTGATTAAGTATGCTTTTGAGCTGAACACTTTATTGGACTAAACTGGGAAGTTTTCATTCCTATCGTTTTGATTTCACTGAAATTCATACAGGTTAATTGTACTTCAACCTTATTTTTTATTTTCTTTTTTCTAGACTTCCAGAAGAGGGTGCTATGTGTACTGTTTAAACAAATGCACATTGAAAGAGCAACAAGGGACACAAGACTGGAAAATAGTATTAAATCAAGCCTTTGAAGAAAGGGATGTAATATCTTTTACCTTATTGGCTACAGTATATTGGTATGAGTACCGCTGTTTGCCACTCATGTCTTCATACACAGTAGGAACAATCTTCAGTATGTAATCATGAGAAGCAAGGGCTGTGTAAACAGAATACAATATACCCCTTTTTGAGAAACCAAAAATAACAGAGAGGCTCTTCTGTATAAATTTCAAAGTATTAATTTCTAATGGAAAATAATACACACTTAATTGTCCTAATTTTTTTCAGTATATAAGAATATATCTAATCCTTTTTTTTTTTTTTTGGTAGACTGCCAGATGCTTTACCACACTCAGAAATTTTTCCAGTAAAACATGAAAATCTAATTTGACTACATGTTGAAAAATATTCTGGTTTGCTACTCTCAATCATCATATACATCAGAAAGGTTTCAATACTAACTTAACTTGTCCAATGAATTTGGGAATAGTATATAATTTTCCATATGTTCAGTCTTACCCACTTGAAGTTCAATTTAAAAAAAGCATTACATTTATGTCATGGATCATATTACTGTCAATGAAGGATCATCATATTTAAAGTTGAAGAAATCATCTGACAGTTTGAAAGGAAGCTGGATAGATATATCATGGGGTTTTGAAACATAATCTCATAGCAAAGATAGAAATTCTATAGGACAGGGAAATAGTCTTTCAGTAACAGATAAATGGAATTACTATAGATCCAAACTACAATTACCTTAAAGTAGTCTAATTTATTACCTCCTATAAGTAAATATAGAGGAAGGAAATGCCAAGCAGAAAGAGATGTTGGCTAGGACCAGACTCATTTCCTGATATACATGATTTTTAAAGCATCTCTTTGCCCTGGCTCCTTTTTATCTTTGTTTCTTTCCTTCGAACACACATGTACATACATGGAAGTTTTGCAAGGAGAGATCTGTGTAAGACTGGCAGCAAAATATCAGAAGGAGTCTTGACAGCATCTTTTCTGATTAACTAATTTTATTAAAAGGCATAAACTTTTGTGAACTGCAACTAACCTATGAAGGTCAATTCCAATAAGTCTTTTGAAGTTGGTATTAGAGACAAGTTTATAATATCTTCTTCAGGTATTATACATCTCTAAGAAACCACAGTAAACAGCAAATCTCTGGTTGTAGAAGCCATTAACAATATAAAACATCAAGAGATCAATTTTTCCCAACCTAGTGCTCTTCAGATGTAATTATGGATAATTCCCAGCATGGCCAGTGACTAGGCCAGCTGAGAATTATATACTGTATTCAAATGTATCTGAAGATCACCACTCTAAGGAAGAGGTTATAGATAATTGATTTGTGTCTCTTTTATAGCCTGGGAAATCAAGTCTGTTCATCCCAAATTTATTTCATTGCTTAAGACCATCAATGATACAATTGTTTTTGTAAGCTTCTCCAATCATGAACATTATATTAATACGAAATTAATAGAACACCACAAATTATACATACGATTTGAACTGAGTTTGTTTGTTCCCTCCAGTGCATTGAATGCTCCATGAATATTCTGGACCTGATGAAAGAAACACCACAAAATATATTTTTGCATTAAGTATGTGTTTTTCTGTTCCCCAAAATAATCCTGTTCCATAAAATAATCCTTAAACAGATAAGAATAGGAAGTGAAAGGGAAGAAACCTCTTCAATTTTTATACCATTTTGTATTGATGCCATCATTCATCCTGACTTGGGAACAATTTTTTTGAATTTCCAGAGGCCTTGTAAACAAAGTATCTCAAAGCAACCGAAGCATCTCAACATATCTACAATACTTGGCATATATTAGCTAATTTTATAAAGTTAAATTCTGAGCATACAAAGATAAGTGAAGTATCAATTTCACCAAACTTAAATAAGTTTTTTTAAAAAAATGAAAATCCTTAAATATCAACTTTGATTAATGAAAGTCTTGTGCTTTACACAAAAGCAACAACTGACACAAGGGTAACACTTATAAAAGGATGGTGCAGCTGGTTTTCTAAAGAGGCATTCAAATTATTAACACTATAAAAGATTTGCCCTGCACCAAGTGGCACAACATCTACTGAAAGATTATGCAGAAACATGACCACAGCTCTGTTTTTGACAGAACTTCATTCATAGATGTGTCATCGGAACAGCTCATTGAGAAGCAGCATTTTTTAAAAAACAGAGCTAAAGCCAAGTAATGAGCTCAGCGAATCCATTACACTACAAAGACAAAACACTTTCATTATCCGGCCTGAAATATAAAACCAGGGAGAAGATTAATTTAGATTCAAGTTTTAGGATACCTATCTAAAGACAGTTTCTTTTTTTTTGAGCCTAACAGCCTGAGAACATTCCAAGAACCCCAACTAGCAATCAAAAGACATAATGAAAATCCTTGCAACACACGGACAGATTCAACCACAGTTCTATTGGAAAACTGTGAGGATCCTAGACCACGCTAAATCAAAAAACACTAGGGAATTTCTGGAAGATTGGTATTAAGACAAATCTACTATCAATAGACACATAGAGCTAAACCATATGTACACACCATTCAAATGAGACAATAAAAATCCAAGAAAGAAATGAAAAGACCAGTACAATACTCGCTGACAGCCAAGTAGAAATTGATACCAACAAACAAAAGAAAACAAATACCGTAATCAAGAAATTACAAGGATAAAAACCCACCCCACTAACACTGACAGGGCAAGCTCCTGTATAAAAATGGAGCAAGCTCCACACTCACAAGCAATGATGACTGTTACTTAGTCAGGTAATGGAACATTTGCAAGCAATAAATCAATTAAGACAGCACCAAGGTCTTCATCATTGAACCCTGAGCAACATATATTATCTTCTATTTATATTGATCTATGTTGCACTGGTCTGACTGTAGTACTTGCAATACTGTGTCCAGTTCTGTCATCACAATACAGAAATGATCTTGAAGAACTGGAAAACATGCAGAGAAGAGCAACAAAGGTGGTAAGACACTTGCAGACTAAATACTACAAAGAGCAACTAAAGGAATTGGGTGTGCTTCATGTAAAGAAGAAGAAGAATAGGGAAAGACATGATAGCAGTTTTCCAATA